CTCCTGAAACCTTCCTCTAGTCCCATACCAGTGGTGGCTGAACAGGGCTGGACGAACCAGGCCCTTCCCTCGCACAGTTTTTCCAAGTACAGTGTCAGGCAAAGCGCTTCTATGCTCATAGCTTCGTGGAGGTCCTGTTTGTTGGCAAAGATCACGAGAGGAACTCCTCTGAGACACTCGTGCCTCAGGACCTGGTGAGTGGGGGAAGCAGATGAAAACACTTTAAATGCTGCAGTGTGAAACACTAAAGCACTGTAAAACATTTCAGACAAATAGCTCCATTGCATGAGGATGTTGTGTTAAACCTCCATCTATTAAGCATTAACCCATATAATATAAACACTCAATTTATGGATTATAGTTGTAAACAGAGATAAGGACATTTTTAGCATTAATTAATGTGTTTGTGAACAATTATAACTCCTCTTATGGAGCATCCGTGCCAGGTGCATGAACACATAATGGGAGATTGATAGTATAACAGTTATAATGTATTTATTTATTCATTTATTTATCAAGTAAATATTTCGTTAACTAGAAATCTTCTTCACTCTACTGGCAAATGAGCAAACTTGATGATGACATCCATGAGATCCTGCTCAAAACTGATTAAATCTAGATAAGTGAGCCATCAGTTAGGATTTAGTTTAGTTTTGATCACATTTATATACAGTTTTAAACCTGTCTGTGATCATTATCATTAAATATGATTACAGCTACAGTGTGCAGTGTTCATTAAAATTACTTAAAAAGATACAGTTACAGTTGTTGACAAATACATAAGCAATTTGATGTTCTTATATTTGCTTAAATTGTGCTATAAGCCATTAATTAAAGATTAAATCTCAGGACATTCATCATTCTGCACACTGAAGCTCAAACATTCAAGTAAAGTTACAATAAGGAAAACACATTTTTGGATGGAGCAGGACTTTAAGGGTTACTCTTAACAATTATCAAATATTCTCTGATTTAATTACCCGACGCAGCTCCTTGCGGGCCTCATCCAGCCGCTTTTGATCCCAGCTGTCCACCACAAACACCAGTCCAGCTGTATCAGGATAGTGATGCTTCCAGTGGGGCCTCATCTTCTTCTGGCCCCCGACATCCCAAACTGTGAGGCCTGGGCTGCTCCTGTCTGTCTCCAGTGTCTCCACATTAAAGCCCACAGTTGGCACAGTCACCACGCTCTCGTTGTACTTCAGTTTGTACAGCAGGGTGGTCTTTCCTGCTCCGTCCAGACCCAGCATCAGGACGTGTGCTTGTTGCTGAGGCTTGGATTCATGCATGCCCATGTCCTAGAAGTGCAGGTCGTGTCTATATATGGGAAAAAAAGATGGCTTCTTCTTTCTGTCCAGCTAGGTGCCTGCTCCCAGTGGCTCCTTTTGTACTGACTATCTGTAGGCTTAGTGTGTCTGGTCTCTTATGGAGACTGTCCGCAATCAGTATGCCTTATGTACTCACAGGCAGTGACCCCTCCCTTCTGTTGTGATGGGATTGCTCTTGCCCCTGCGTAGCTTTCAGTAAATCTATTTATAGCCAAAGTGACAGTGCAACTAACTGCATACAGTTCTCTGGTTGCCACAGCACAGTTAGGGGAGTCATATCACACCTGCTACAGATCATCATACACAGCAGCAACCAGGAAGTCCATGTTTGGTTTAATGGCAAGATTGGGTTTCTTCCTGTCTGGAAGTCTCGTAGAAGTGATATCATTTTGTTGGAGGATTACTTGCCCCGGGCAGATGGGTAAATGTAGTTTTATCTTTAGACTGACAATATGTAGGCTGAATGTGACTTCAGGAAACCTCTAGCACATTTTGAATTATCATGATAGATTAAAGTGTTGTACAATATTGTACCACAGTAGGAATGGATAGTATGATCCAAATGTTTATGCTGGCTGAATTCTGTTTTGATTTTTCCAATAAAAAGATTACTGTAAAAGTCTGCATCGTGACTTTAGGCTGATTGATAGATTACATTTCTGGATTGTTTCTGTTTTTTTTTGTAGCTGTTCTCAGTCTCATTATGTGGGATTCAGACAATTTAATTATTGACTAGTGTAATGTCATCCAACTTGGAATAAGCAGAAAATAATGACGTCAGTAGCAAAATAAACTTGGTGTATTGCCCAGTCCTTACATCATAATAAATGCAGACTGCTGTAATCTTCTAATCACCCAGCAGGTGGCATGGGCTGACTAAAGTCAAGCTTTGCAAAAACTGAAGGGTCACTGTCCATTGTTTAGTCTCTTTGACTGCAAAAATAAACCATGACAGACCACTTTGTGGAGAAACCTGGCAAAAGAACAAGCATTTGTAATACTTAATGGGAATATTAAAGGAATGCTTCACCCCTCAAATAACCATTTGTGTATCAAGTATTTGGTCCATGTTAGGTTGAATTCGTGTAGAAGACATTTTTCTTGCATCCCTACACAGTGAATGAAGAATCCAAAAAAAGAGACAATTCTTAATGAATTAAAGTAAAAGGGTGCCACGTGTAAAAACAGCAGAAATATCTCAAAACATCTGTTTACACTTGTCCCACATCTTCGGCTGTATAATCAAAGTCTCATTTCTCCAGTCAGGGCTGAGAAGTCTCAAACACACAGCCTTTTCTGATGGGGAACTGAACTAAATGTAAAACCTAACTATTTCTCTCTCAAGCCAGACTCCATTGACAAAAACAGTAGTTTTACCTTGTTGAACACAGGGGATGTTGGTCTACTGCTGCCTCAATTAGTCAGTTTGTGTTACTGTGTGACTCTAGTGTTTTAAATGGTTAGTTGAGATTCACCAAAATCACACAATGACACAAATAAACCATCTGATCCAGGCAGAAGTAGACCAACATCCCCCATGTCCAGCAAGGTAAAATTACTGTTTTTGTCAATGGAGTCTGGCTTTGAAGAGAGCATAGGTAAGTTTTACTTTTAATTCTTGGATTTTTGGATGATTTGTCCAGCGGAGGCATGCAGGAAAAACAAAGTTTTCTTCACAGATTCAACACAGGGATTATTTGATATACAGATGTTAATTTGGGGGGTGATGCCAAAGTGCAAATCTGCAAAGCATACAGGAAAACAAGTTGTCTTATTTTTACTATCACTAGTGACATTTCTCCTTTTCCTAGGATAAACTGTAATCTATCTGGCATAGCATTTTCTGTTCTTATTTTCTGTATGTCTGTGTTGTTGTCTCTGCTTTATCTGTATGAGTTACTTTCGTATTTATATTTTCTAAAAAGAAACAAAACACGAGCACAAAGAAAATGATCATTTATCATTTTAATGTTACCTTTTTGATTTACATTTTAAAATTTCAGAATTCTTTTATTTAATTTTTTTTACAGTTTATTAAAGTCAACAAAAACAAGTACAAATGCCACATAAACACTCTGTAAGGTACATTATCAAGGAAGAATGTGAACAGAAAAAGCACAAACAGTTTTATCTGATATATATCTCTGAAGTTAAACAATCCAGGAACAGGCGCATTGCTTTCTTCATTGCTGTATAAACAGTAGAGGGCTGATACTAACGTGAGGACAGTATGTACATTCATCTTACAATTCCATGTCTCTTGGAGACATCTCTTACGACAATGATATTCTACATGTGAGTTAACAAGGTGTGACACCAAAGTCGTGCAGTGTACATGGCATGATCGATTGCGTTACATTAACACCCGAGAAGTAGTTTTGGCAGCAGACTTCATAACGGGAAATTAACAGTTAAAAAAATAAGGCAACAATAACTCGTTTTCATTCAAAGGCTTGTTACATTTTCAGTTACAGTTCAGGGAAAAGTCATGTGTGATCAGGATGAAGACGACAAGGCATTAACAGATGACACTGTGACAATAAGGTGTCGATTTCAGTACATGTGCTGTGTATTTCATGTACACTTATGAAATGATAATGTAAGAAAAGTCAGATAAAGGAATAGCGTGTCAATATGTAAAAAAAGAAGCCTACTAAAAGGGCTGTAAATCTCACGTGATAACTCAATTATTACCGTACAAGTTTAAATCAATAGTTATTTTATTTTCAATTGATGTGACAAACCTTGTAAAATAATAATTAGCAGCTCCAGTGACAGTAAAATGTTACGTTATCACCACAAGGTATTGCTTTGAACAGTTGTTTTACATTTTAAACCCATCTAAAGTGAGATTTGCTTTGACAACCTGCTGCATTATCCAACAGTTATTACATTATCAGTAGTTGCATGGATTCTGAAAAGATGGGGATCAAATTAGAGTCTAAAGAATCAGAGAATCAGAAGAGAAATGAGACTTTATCAGTACAGAAACTAACAGCAATCATTTTAAGTGAACTAAGACATTCAACATCTAAACGTATAAAATTCAAGACAAAATTCTTACATCGAGAATTCCCATGTTCAGCACATGTGGTGTGACCACTGTGGTTGGTTCTATTGCTGTACAATGTGAGTGATGAGATTTGAACAGGCGTATGCACATTATCATTTGTGTTGTTCATGTGTAAAGGGAATAAATTCATGTTTGCACCAGTGATGTGTGTTTGATCCAGGACTAAATTAAAAAAAAAAAATTCAGTGCAGTCTCCCGGTAGACGTCAGTACAATTAAATGTTGTGGAAACACACAGTTAGGAAACTAAGAATATAAAAATTAGTGGTCACATAGACTTTGAGTGACAGACATCACCTTTGAAATAATGTGGAAGTGAAACTTCATGCTAGCTTGTATATTTTAAATTTCTCATTATTGGCTAGACAATGAATTGGTTGTTAACGTGACATCTATCACTGTTTCTTCACACACACACACACACACACACACACACACACATATTGGTGCAGACACATGGGCATACCCACAGCTGCACAAAGCTAAATCTGTTTATTTGCATAACAGTGACCCAGCTTCCATTACGGTATCAGAACAAAAATGGCTAAGCCTAAATGAAAGACGTTTTCTTACAAGTGTCACTTTTACAGNGGGGGGGGGGGGGGGGGGGGGGGGGGGGGAGATGGCATGGTTTGATGCACTAACGTCTGTAAATATCTGTGATAGAAATAGTTCTCGCTCAAAAAGTTGCGGGCTCAGTTTTTAAATCTTTCATCTTAAGCCTATCTTACTCTTACTTACATAGATACTGTGTGTCGTGGATGGGTGGTCTATTGCTCGCTGGCCTTGCCTTTAAACTTGACCACCATGACAGTGATGTTGTCAGGGCAACCACGGTAGAAGGACTGGAGGACGATGCTCTTGGCGCCAAAATGAGGCTCACCCAGTCGTTCCCTGATGAAGCGAACCGCCTCCTCGTTGCTGAAGGTGTCCCACAGGCCGTCCGACGCCAGGATCATGAACTCTGGCTGCAGCTTGTTCAGGTCAAACGACATGATGTCTGGATCGGGAATGACCACGTTGAGGTTCTTCAGGGGGTAATCGCCCAGGGAACGGGACATGGCCAAGATTCCCTGGACGCGCCACGAGCCATTGAAGCTGATGAAGCCACCTGAGGAGGAAGAAGGGCAATGGTTGGAAAGTGATGAATCAAAGAGCGAGAGGTGGATGTGCGGAGGATGGAGGGACACAAAGGTGAGAGGAAAAAGCAGAGAAACACATGTTTTCCACATTACTGCCATTATACTGCAAGACAAAAGATTATTTTTGTTCCTTTGAAGCATCTGGCAGAATGTCCGTCCATTTCCATCAACTATGAGACCGCTGTGTTCACATCAAAGTGCAAATAATAATATGGATCAGTGCCACTGACATGTTTTCACTCAGTGCTCACCGTTCCTGCTCATGGAACGCAATTGTTTATGTTGGATACATTTCAATTCATGTCACATCCTGTGAGTACAGCTGTGTATCCTCACTGGCTTTGACAGATTTGCAAGCAGGGAATTGCACTGGAAATGATAAGATGAAGACTTCCATACTAGGTCACGATGCCTCCCTAATTCCTAGCGAGCAAGGCCACAGCCAGGATTTTAAAAATACTGAGGTTGAGAGTTCAGGCTGTAAATAATCCCATTATGTGTAACTCTCTATTATAAACTGCACTTAAGTTAGCTAAAATCTCCAAACTCCCAGAGATCACAGAGGGCATGACCTCGCTGTCCTCAATAGCAGCTACTTCAGCAGCTACTGCCTCTTGAGTTAAGTGCTTTGACGTAATTGTTGGGAAACATAATGTACAAATTGCAACTACAATCAAGAGCGACATGAGTCACTAAGTTATTAACTGAAGCAGTTAGCTGCTGAGGGCGGCAGTTGAACGAATGAATGCATTAATTAGCAAACATTTCTGTCCTCACATTATCATTAGACTGGGTTTATTTGTCTTCACCTAAACAACAGCTTGCATTTATTTGACATTAATTCATGTCATTATTTAGTTACTTTTCATTCCTGTACAGTCAGCACCAAGCATGGATGGATTACTGAATGGGCCTACCGGGCACAAGCCCTGGCGCCAAAAGTGTCAGGGGTTCTCCTGGCCTTCATTGGCAAAATGCCACTCAAATTAACATCTACCAATCAGGAAGAGACACAAAGGGACCACAAAGAGATGCAAAGGAACCGCGAAGAGACACAAAACCACAAAAAGATGCCTAACAATGACAAAGAGATGCAAAACAACAACAAAAAACAGAGGCAAAACCACCACATAACCTGTCTCTCTTGATCCTATGTAGGAGAGGTGGTGGGGCCTTTTGCATATCTGTGCCCAGGGGCCCAGTGTCTCATAATCAGTCCATGGCACCAAGTTTATTGAAAATGCAACGTGTCAATCAGAGGACTGTCAGGCATCAAACTAACGTAATCGAATATCATTCTTGTGCTACAGCCACAGACTGAAAAAAAGTCACTAATGTCTAATAACTGATTTAAAAAAAAAATCTTAATATGACATTAACAATGTATCCTAAGATGCGCAGAATGCAATAAAAAAATGAAAATAAATTACTTTACCGGTACATTCTATCAAGTAAATAAATAAATAAATAAATAAAATAAAATAAATTAAATCACATTAAAATAAAAATAAATAAATAAAAATAAAATGAAATGAAATAAAATAAAAATAAAAGGAAATTAAATCATAGTAAAATAGAATAAAAAAAAACATATAGGATCTTCCCTCACATTGGTCAACAAGTCTTATATACAAGTGATAATCTTCATAACCTATAAAAAAAAAACATGCAGAAAATTTAAGTAGTAAAAGTCAACAAATGAAGAAAGATACAAGAACAATAGAATATCAACTACCATTAAGGAAACATCAAGTAAACAGTCAATGTAAAATGCTTGCTAAAAATGTTGTGCTGTATTCTTTGGCTCCTACAAGTCCATTTAGTGGCACAAGGATTTAGTGGCATCTAGCAGTGAGGTTGCAGAACTGAAACTGAAACTGTGTGCTTAGCATGTGGCAGACATATGGTGGCTGAGAACATGAAAATGCGAATGGCCCTATCTAGAGCCAGGGTTTTGTTTATCTGTTCTGGGCTACTGAAGAACAACATGGCAGACTCTGTGGAGGAGGACCTGCTCTGTATGCAACTGCTCATCTAAGGTAATAAAAACAAAAAAACTAGACGAACGAAACATAGTCATGAATATGACACATCATTTCTGCTACTAGATGCCCCTAAATTCTGCACACTGGACTTTTAGGATACGTTGTTTGTCCAATTTAAGGGATTTCTGTGGCTCCATATGAAGATCTCCTCATTTGTCATTCTTTCAGTGCATAGACAGCACTTCATTTAGCATTTAGGAGTTACAGCAGTGTCAAGAAAATCAGGTTTCCCTCATTAATATGTAAATGTACGCAGCAAAATGCTCCAAGACTCTAATCAGATCATCAGCTCTACCTGTGGAGCCGGTGGTGTAGGTATAAAGTTTCTATCATTAATTGTTCCTGCGTGTCTGTCTTTACAAGAACGTGTCACAGAGACAAACAGCACTGTATCAAGATGATGGTACTTCATGAGAGAGGATGAACTGTAGTTTCTATACACAGGTAGAGAGATGATCTGATTATATGCCCCTTATTAGTACATTAGTGGTTTCTGTATCTGTGATTAAAACTAGATGCCCTCCTCACTGAAGTAAAAACAGTATGAAATCATCTGCTGTATCATAACTGCAAGCATGTTACATGAATGTAAACCTAATCTGTTTTTTAGTACCCAGTCAGACCATTAGATGGAGATGGCGGGCTATCCTGACAGTGACCACACTGACTGACTAATCTGGCAACCTGCCATCAAACTCTCCTCAGCACAGAGAGTATGCAGATAGGGCAGGAGGGAGAATTATGCCTTCAAATACACCTTAAATACTGTGCACTGTCTGGCTGCATTCGATAACATGCTGCTTCAGAGGCAGATTGTGTTATCAGTCACTGGGGTTTGATGTCAGCCCAAGCACACAGACACAAGAGGTGGAAAAAAAGGATAATGGTGCTCAGCTTTGATCATAAGAACACTTTTAATGCTTTCATGACAACAATCTGAGTTTTGATGTTCCCCTCTAGTTGTAACTAAAGCCTTGTTCTCCTGCTCAGGAAAAAAAACATCAACTGGTTTGGGCCGCAGCCGGTTTCTCACCAGCCTTTTTGATCCTCTTGCGTTCTTTGAGCTGGTAGGGTTTGTGGTCATGCGACAGGGGAATGGCGTTGCCGTCCTTATCGCAGAGAACTCCACGTGAATCTCCGACGTTGGCCACTGTCAACTCCTTGTCGGACAGCAGAGCCACCAGACACGTAGTACCTGAAACAGATGGAGGAGAGAGGCGAGCAGGAGGGGAACAGAGGAAGATGGAGAAGGAGAAGGTTGGGGGAGAAGGAAGTACGTGAGATCAGAATTAGAGTGTGCTACATGTAATATTGTAATTTAGTACATTGATAGAAACCATTCATGGACAAAATAAACAGACAAGATTGTCGTTTTATGGCATGCAGCTTATCAAATTCCTGACAATTTACATACAATACATTTTTGCATATATCATACAGCAAGACTAACTCTAAGTTGGCAAAAATGTTGGTACATGAGTTGCTGAGTTGATGTCATTTGTGCAAAAACATGGCGTACGAAAGTAAATGTTCAATGCTGTCCATGTAGAGTGACCTAGATTAGTTAGGAAAGTTATTTATTAGCATACGTTGGGTAAAACAATGTTTTAGTAGTGTTAGGGGATGTACTGGTGCAGCTGGGATGACATCACGTTGTAATGTAAAGCCTCAATGTGTTGTTTAAATGCTCTGAGCAATAAAGTACAACACATCTTCTTTGTAGCGTCCATGTTGTTTCCTGGTTATGAATGAAAGCTCATGAACACACCAAAGTCAGAGGAACAACCTCCCAACTCAGATAATGGGACCATACGAGGACCATGTCAGGCTGTAGATCAGAGAGGGGCTAATTGCTAGCACCAGCATGCTAATAGCTCATAATGACGATGCTAACATGCTAATGTTTAGCAGATATCATGTTTACTATCTATTTTAGTGTGTTAGCAGCTTACATTTGCTAATTAGCGCTAAACAGAGTATAGCTGAAGCTTAAGTCTTCTGTCTTGCAGGTGTTTGGTCATAAACTAATTTAACCTTTGACCTCATGATGGCGCTAGATGAAAAGGCAGGAGATCATTTGAGTTAATATGATTTAATCTGAAGGGGATGTAAATGTGTGTGACAGATTTCATGGCAGTCCGTCCAACAGTTGTAGAGACATTTCACCCAGAACATAAAATGTCAACCTCATGGTGGTGCTAGAGGAAAACTGAGGGTGTCAGTAGGTCATCAGGGTTCATCCTCTGGTGTCCAGGAATGGACCTCTGACGGAGCGACACTGCCATCGCTAGAGCCACACTCTGGTGCTAGTGTGGCTGAAATAATCCAATGCTGCCATAAAACAGCCCTGCTTAAAAATTAAGTTCCGCCTGACAAATTTTTATCAACTCATGGTATGTATTGATATCACCCAACCCTAAATATAGCAACCTTAATTAAAAACTTCAGTAATCCAAGAAGAAAAGCTGCCTCCCTCTCTCCCTCCCTCCCTCCTGCTCTAAAGCGAAACACATGAATCATGTGCAAACATTGCAAAAACTCTTTGAAGTAACATTTCTCCCTTGTACCACTGTCTGAAACGCTTTCATTTCTTCTCCTCCTTCCTCTCTTTGTTTAGCTTCCCGGCCAGGCAGAACAGAGTCTGGACTCAGAATCTGAGGCCTATTGTGTGAGATCCAAAGTCCTGTAGAGAAAGAACAGATCTGCCTGTTTGGCCATCTGCTCACACAGAGAAAAGACAAAACTGCAGAGAGAGACAGAGAGGGAGAGGAGGGAACAAAGGAGGGAGGAAGAAAAAAAAAGTGGAGAAAGTAGGGGGTCCTACTAGTCTGGACCACCTGGGCAGAGAGGAGTTCCACATCTGGGTGTGATCCTGACTGACAGCTTACAGTATGTCTCTGAATACAATAAATCTATTTCCCCCATGAAGGGTCCTCTGATTCAGTTCTACACCTGACGCCGTCACAGTACGTGAGGAATCACATGAGAGCGGTAACACAGGCAGCAGTGGATGCAGATGAATTGAGGACGAGTGGAGAGAGCTCGGAGAGGAGAGGAAAGAACGAGAGAAGAGATTACTTCTCAGCAGGACAATGATTTTATTACTCCCATTTATAGCTCGGGGTGAGAAAAAAGTGATAAACAGAAGAAAAAAAAAGTAATTGACAGAAAATAACTATGAGGAAAAAGCACAAGCTGGAAGCAAGGCTCAGATGAATGAAGTGAATGTTGATGCCACTTAATTGTAAACGACTTACTAAGTCTTTTACGCGGTTTGTGAAAAATCCATTTCTATTAGTTTCATCATCGTATGCATCCCTAATCCTGCTGCTGGTGCCTATAGCTGCCGCTGCACTGTGCCATGCTGTCCAGCTAATTATCCTTATCTAGTTCCCATGGCGATGGAGATAATGGACTGAGGTGCCTTGCTAGCACACCCTTCCCCAATTAGCCCAGCCATGCCAAGCACACGTTCAGCATTCCCTATTAAAATGGCACCATGACCTGTATGCACCCTCTGCTCACGCTGCTAATTATTGGCTTAGCTTGGCCAGGCACACCTTCAACACTCCAATAAGATTAACATCTCAGCCCCCCGTTAGTCTCCCACTCCAATTTGTATCATTGCACTGATTCACTCCCCCGGAGTTCGACTCTGGAAAGCACAAGTGTCCATATAGCAGCAGAATACACCCCATGGATTTATGGTCTTAACTGAGCTGCTTGGCATTTAGGTGAAAAATGAGAGGGCAGGACTGAAACCACCCCTCCCTCGCCCCGGCTCATTGTCTCCTTCAAACTCAAACGAAACACAAAAACACTACCTGCCCATTAGTCCACCCACAACATGATTTTTCCCCCCAAAGAGCTGCTGTCCTGTCTCACCTGCCTTCCTTGGACTTGCACTGTTAACATTTAAAGCTATTTTTAGCGTTGTGTGCTGCATAAAGCATTTTAAACTGCTTTCTAAAGTCTGTGCGGCACTCTGAATTTGCATACCATGCCACTATGAAGCTTAAAAAAACCCTCTGCTTTCATAATGTATAGTTTTTACTCCATTCATTCCTAAATAACTAGCTGCCTCGGGGGCCAGCCTCTGCCTTTTTGAAGCAGTATGTGAGATTCCTCTTTGGGCTCCTATGTACATGTGCAGCAATTATTTCTCCAGGGTGTTTATTCTTCCTTTTATAATTCTTATGATACAAAATAGATGGTAGATAATTATCCAACATAAACCGCAGTGGCATACAGGTCATATCTGGGAGCAGCCCATGACGTGACAGGTTTATCGATCTGAGTATCTCCTCTTATTATGCAAGGTGGTAATGGCAACCTTGTGGGCTAGGAAGTGGTTTTAAAGAGTAATCGACCAATTTAGAAATGTACTCCTATTCCCTCTAACACTGTGGGAGTCCTGATGGACAATTTTTTAAAAAAGGATCAAAATCGATTCACTAAATATCACAATTTTTACCTTTAGAGAGACAAACTCTAGAAAAACATGACTGTGGTTTATAATGATAGTCAGTGTACTGTTACGTTTGTGTGCCGTATGAAATGCTGTTCGTTTTATTCCACACATTCCTTTTCTTTGTCACAACCTGGTGCCTACATTAACCACAATGCTTAGTGTGTAACGCTAGCAGTGGCTGATATAGCCTCAAGCACAGATGAGAAACAGGCTACAGAGGTATAGTGAGGGCACTCCTTCCTATCTCCTCACCCCGAGATTTTTATCTTTTTCAAACTTGTAGTTTTCAACTCTAACAAATGCTGCCGACTCTGCTTTACAACTTTTATCTCTTTCCTCTTCACACAACCAACAGGGTGCAGGAAAACCAGCGCCTGGAGTCTTTACACACTTTAACAACTTTAAACACAAAAATCTTGAATGAAATCAATGAGTTTTTCATGCGGCGATCAGACATTTGGAGCACTTTTAAATCCAACATCAAACTTGCAAAGGCTCTAAGGTTGCTTGACATGATAGATAATTCATCACAATGAGAAACCTTCCTATCTGACGGTCCTGCAGTCATGCAGCGAGCAAGAACGGCTTTAAAAGAGTCTCCTTGGTGAGTTCAGGAAACTCAGGCGATGGAAATGTTGAAGTCGGCTGCCAAAAACCACTGCGATGATGAGCTGTGTGGTTATATAACAATAACTGTCATATCTCAGATGTCAGAGCCTGTAAAACCTGTTTCTAGGGACAGAGACTAATAAGATTTTATTGATACCAATGCCATTATTGATTCTGTTTATAGGTCTGATTCTTTATCAGTTCCCTTATTGGTTCCTGATGATTTTTCTGTGTGGAAAAAATTAGGCCTACACAAGTTTTTAGCATTAACACAACTGTTTTATGACCTCTGAGTCTGAACACAGTGTCCAAACTGTGTCATTATCTAAAATGGATAAAATGAGAGAATATTTGTACAGCACTCCTTTCCATTTGAATGTTTTGAATCACATAAAAAATCTGCTAAGCCTGCCTGCTTGGTGCTAATGTTATCATACCACAGGATATTTACCCTCAGTAACTGATTTGCTGCTCTTCTGGGAAGCAGTCACTCGTGCGTAGTGTCAAAAACATGGAATTTCTGGAGTGTGAGCCCGTGTTGTGTGGAAAGATGTTTCAGCATATTGCTGGTGTTTCCACTCTTACTTCCAAAAATCACTTTACAGACATTACAAGCAGCACTGTTGTCATATTTCCTCTTAAAACGAAGCCAGGCTTTGGACTGTTTATTCCTCTCCGCCATGACTCTTTCTTGTTGGAAGTTTTCTGCAGTGTAGATGCATGAGTTTGAAATCATTGTTTTTGTTATGTAAAGACGTCAGAAAAATATGCCGGCATCGATAAAAGCAACCGATAAGCTCAGAGACCTACGATTCTGGTGGATTGGACAATACCTCCACCTTACACGTTTCCCAGTGCACGTTTGTCTCCACTGTACATTAGTAAAACTTAAATGGGATATTATTATCTTTTTTGTGTCTTCTTATTCTTTAATTTAACTTGATTCCAAAAAACATTTTGTCTTTTTGTATCCTGCAGATACACACTTCTACATGTTGTCAATCTGTGGGTCCATATTTTTATGCAGTCTTGCCAAAGGTTGCAGCATTTAGGCACTTAAGCCTGATTTATGGTCTGCATTAAATCAACGACGTACCTACGTTGTAGGTTACGTG